TTCGGGCAAAAGTTCGACACAGATTAAGCCAATAAAGGACGACAATGGAAAGTCAATCACCAAAGAGGTGGAACAGAGGGAGCACTGGGCTGAACACTTCAAAAGACTTCTAAATCGTCCGCCACCTACAACGCGTCCAACAATACCAACAACGGAAGCAGAACTACCAATGAACATCGACCCTCCGACGAAATCCGAAGTCCTGAATGCCATCAAGATGCTAAAAGCTGGGAAAGCGCCAGGACCAGATGGAATCCCAGCAGAAGCTTTGAAAATAGACCCAGAGACAACAGCGGACTTGATGACGCCACTACTAGAGAAGGTGTGGAAAGAGGGCAAAGTACCCGAGGATTGGAAGAACGGATACTTATTCAAACTGCCAAAGAAAGGAGATTTGAGTCAATGTAAAAACTGGCGTGGAATTATGCTTCTGTCCATTCCAAGCAAGGTACTATGTCGCATCATCCTGGAGAGAATTAAACAAGCCCTAGATGAAAAACTTCGTCCGGAACAGGCCGGATTCAGGAGGAACAAGTCATGCATTGACCAAATCGCCACCCTACGGATTATCATTGAACAAAGTTTGGAATGGCAGTCACCTCTCTATCTCAACTTCATCGATTTTGAGAAAGCCTTCGACAGCGTCGATCGAGAGGTGATTTGGCAACTACTTCGCTACTACGGGGTGCCGCCGACAATTATACATCTCATCCAACAGCTGTATGACAACGCTGCATGCCAAGTAATCCACAACGGGAGGCTCACGGAATCCTTCGAAGTGAGGACGGGAGTGAGACAAGGCTGTCTACTGTCACCAATGATCTTCCTGATTGCAGTTGATTGGATAATGCGGCAGACAACGGCAACCAACGAGGGAACAGGCATAAAATGGACCGACACAAAAGCCTTGGAGGATTTGGATTTCGCCGATGATATATGTCTGATTTCCCACAAACTGGAAGATATGCAAGTGAAAAGCAACAAATTGGCAGAAGAAGCAGCAAAGATAGGACTTCAAGTGAACATAGACAAAACAGAGGTAATGAAGATTCCTGGCCAACATCAACAGCAACAACCGACAACAATCAGCATAAATGGGAGGAACCTGAAGGAAACAACTTCTTTCACCTACCTGGGAAGCATCGTCTCAAATACAGGAGGAACTGACGAGGATATCAAAGCCAGAACCGGAAAAGCAAGACAAGTTTTCATTTCTCTCAAGTCTATGTGGAGGTCAACAGCATTCAGCGTCAAAAATAAGATCCGTATTTTCAACTCCAATGTGAAGTCAGTACTACTATACGGATCAGAGACTTGGCGTGTGACAAAGAGCAGCTCAAACAAGCTACAGACCTTCATTAACAAATGCCTTCGCTCAATACTCAAGATCAAATGGCCGGAGAGGATCAGCAACAAAGATCTCTGGGAGCGAACCAACCAGGAACCGATCGTGAAACAAATAGGCAGGAAAAAATGGAGATGGATTGGACACACTCTGAGGAAACCAGCAAGTGACATCACTAGACAAGCCCTCGAGTGGAACCCGAAAGGGAAGCGACGAGTTGGTCGTCCAAGAGTGACCTGGAGGAGATCATGTGAAGAGGAATTGAAAGCGTGTGGGCAGACTTGGAGCGAGGTGAAAACTACAGCAGAGAACCGAACGCAATGGAGACGCATGGCTGAAGCCCTATGTTCCTCTAGGAATTAAAGGAAATAATAATAAATAATATAAATAAAAGATCAAACCGCGAAAATACGAAGAAGCATAACTAACTTACTAAAGGAACTCAGAAAAAGGATATATTACACCAGTAATATACAAAGACTCACAGGGGTATCATTTCACGCATGTACGGTATACCGAAAGTGTATAAATCAGGAGTGCCTCTCAGTCCCATATTACACATGTCTCAATCGACTTTAAAGTGACTAGTAATGTTACTTCAACGCCTTCATAATCAACTAGCGAAACCTTGTGTGAAGGATATCTTTCAGTTTAGTGATAAGATAAAAAAACTTGAACACACTTGACTATTGCTTTCATATCATTAGTTTTTATCCACATGTATGCAATAGTTATTCTGCTGTAAAGTAATCCTTCTGTACTGTGCGTTTTTTGAATGTTTTTGTTAATTCCACTGTTTTGTATCATAAGGAGGAATTGTGTCAGCTTGTGATAAGCTACGATAGCATATTTTATTCAAACGTTTGTGCACAATACTTAATTAATTTTTCTTCTCTATAGTTTTTTTTTCTATCCAATATTTGTAGAAACTCTGAGACTTATATTGTGTTAGTGAACTAAACGGAAATTGAAACGATATAGGAGAAATCCAGTTTATGGAGTTTTGAAGATTAGATTGTTCCCGTCCAATGTGTATTCATCACTTTACAAATTGATGTCATTTGAGGGAAAAACATTGCGAAAACCCGTAGATGTTGATCGAGATTTGTCTCAATGTTCGTTTAGCATAACCCATCGATCATCAGTGTCTAACTTTGACATAGGTTCCTTGATTTTGTATTAATGAAATGGATTTATGTCTGATGAAGTCAGTCCAGCAAGTTTAGGACGAGAGTTGATTATGCCGCATACTATTATGGAGTTATTTCGGCAATTGAGACAAGTTAGAGTTTTTACGCTATTTATTTCTAATCCTTTGACCTAGTAGTAACATGCGCTTGCCTTTTAATTACATAGTCAATAGTTTAATGTGTGCGTCGGTGGTTGAGTGGTAGAACATTGGCCAACCATGCAAATGATCCGGGGTTCGAGCCCCTTTTGACTTATTCCTTTACCTCGTTTAGTCGGTAGAAAGCCCGGTAAGGAGGGAAGGTTGGGCGTAAAGCTGGCAACTCTGTCCCGTAAAAAAAACACTGTTACTGCAACGTCATAGCTCTAGCTTGAAACCCTATGTTCCATTGGGAACGCAAAGGAATAAAACAAATAGTTTAGTGTAGGGGCATTCACGATTGAAGATTCCCAAATTAGAACGAAACGTCTATCTTATACGTCACAGGTTTCAATGATACTCTGATTAACTTCTTGGTGATGTCTTCTTTGTCACTTTACACGGCACATCGGTTTTAGCATTCAACTTTATATCAGTCGGATTTCAGCCTTGAATTCCACATACACTTCAACGTGAACATTTGACATAGTATTGTCATCATCGTCAATCTTGACCCACTAAAGGCGTTTCATAAAGTGCTGTTATATATGAAAAATCTGTTGCAAGTAAATACACAGAAATTTAGTCTTAACTATAATAAAGTTATAACGCACCTATTACTAGAATAGGATTTTCATGTGAAACTGTTAGCTAGATATTGTAACTCACATTGTTACATTGTCCATTTATCATACATTGCTTGAGATCATTTGATGTAAAAAGTATTTGAACATAATTTGTATTTCAGTAAGATTATTATAAATAAAATAACATGTGACAAATGGAATTTAAGCTATTGTGATGTATGCGTTTTAGCGTGTTTAGTCAACAAAGAATATTCTTTTCGATAACTTATAACTGTGGAACCTGTTGAGGAATATGTTCGTAATTTAATTGGACACTAGTCAGTGACTAGTGTAGTGTGTCTAGTGCTTTGTTTGGTGCAGACTAATTTCTATCAGTCAGGTTTGCATTGTGGCCACCAATCTAGGTAGCTCGCCATCACGGTGCACTTTGAATTGTTGATGTTAGATGGTTGGAGGCAATCGGCAGGAAGGCTTGGACTACCTAGGTTTCATGCTGGTTTGCATTCACCAGTCAGCAGGGCGTATCAACAACCTTAAAGGAACTCATCTCCCTTCTGAAATTCGAACCCGCGTCACCCAATGTGCAGTCAGAGACGTTACCACTGATACGCCTTGCTGATGAATGCCGACTTGCACGAAACCTAGGTCCAAAGTTTCCTACCGATTGCCTCCAACCATCTGATGTCAACAATATGTGCGTAATAGTTAAAGAATTATTGTTATTAACAACGTTAATGTTTTTGATTCTATTGCATCAATAAGAACACTAGATTATGGTTCAGAAACATCTGTAAGTGATAATAAGCGTAAGTATAACACCTAACTGGTTGAATTACAGATGAATTAGGAAAAATAACAGAGAATTTATGAATTTTTAGGTTCTACAACAGGGCCAGGATAGCAGTAGTGTCTGGACTTGTTCTTTTGCACGCAGAGCTCTGGTTGTTTTAAGCGAATTGCAGTAGCCTCTACTGTTTGGAGTTTTCAGTATTTAGAGACCTATGATAATCTACTAAGTATTTGATTGGTGATAGAAAAAGACTCTTCAATGTTTAGTTCTTTATGGCCTGTTTGGACTAGATGGTTTAATATCGAAATGTTGATGGTTTAAACTATTGATTTATTTAGCCACATTGGTAAATGTTAATGAGCACGAGAAATTAAGTTCTAAGAAAAAGAGTTTATATAACTGGATGCACAGAAGCAGTTCAACTGACAGATACTAGAAGAAGTGGCTAGCCTACGTACTTCGTCTTTCGGTTTCGAAATCAAAATCTGTCGTGTGGAAAACATAAGCTTCATAATCAAACGTTCTTTGATGAATCCATCTTCTCAACTTATTGGTTGTTATTCGGTGATCGATCTCTCCTTCACACATACCCTCTTTTCTTCACTTATCATTTTGTTTTGTTACTTAAATAGTCATTTACCAAGGGATGTACAAATGAATTGTGAACAACAACTCAAATAATTCTTTCAACTTGAAATTATCGATTACACTAATAGTATAACAAGGGGGGAGAGGTGGTTGTAGCTCCATCTGTAGTTACATTCTCTAAGCTGGATGAGTTAATTGCGAACCTTTCATTGTTCTACCGGACAACATCATCAGTGCAGACTTCAATACGAAGTGAATTTTTTTGAATTATCTATAAATTATATAATTGTCAAGAGAGAGAACTATATTACTCAGTGTCTACCGACAAACTCAACACACTAATGCTTTATCTACTGTTTTTAGGTGCCACATCTCAGTTGGATTTGTCTACACAACCAATGCAAGAACCATCTCAGAGTTTATATAATCAAGATGATTCGAGTAAATCAAAGGCATCAGTTAACTCATTTTTGGATGATCAAGGTGAGTACTATATCTATTTTTCATTTGTACAAGAGTATATATATATATATATATATATATATATATATGAGTAAACATTGATGTTGAATAACTGTCAGACACTACTTACAAGACTGGAACAGTCACGCTATTAGTGAGCGAAAGCTTACTACGTTCTTGTTGTTCCTTATTCGCAGCAAATGTGCAGGTTGAGGCCCTGTGACCAGACTGTTCTCTGTATCAATAAATCATGCATATCTGTTCATTACCTCAGCACATGATGGGAAAATCGGACGCAAAAGGCGTTTTTGTCGTTGAGAGTGCTCTTGTCTTTTTTATCCCTCAATACGAGTTGTTCAAGGTTTTCTATTTTTGTGATCAAAAATTTAAATAAGAATTAGTGAGTTATGTATGTTTATAAGAAAATAAGGAAAATGGAAAATTATTTTTAATATATTTTGGTTCAGAATTTGGATACGTATATGAAAACCCGTAAGTAGTCATTACGTGATCATAAACGTTTGAAAATGATGAGGTAGAAAAGAAAATCACCGGCTCCGGACTTTCATCAGCACCTGTCTTTGGTCAGTACTAAAAATCAGATGGTTGGCCAGAAAGGATTAGTGACAGAGAACTCTGTCAACGAATCCAACAGTTATGCCGAAGGAAATTAAGGTGGAATGGATATACACCGGGGAAACCGTCGAATGATATCACGCACTAGACCATCGCTCCAGTGCAACCCGAATAGTAAACGATCAGTTGGGTATAGGTCTCATAAAGGTTACATGGAAGAGAAAATAAAAGCTTATGGGCGATTGTGGAGACTGTAGAGAATAGGGTGAAATGAAGGTGCTCTGTTGTAGCCCCATGTTCCACTCAGAACCTAAAGGAGTAGTAATAATCATCTTTATTGGCCATTTATTAGCACACAAAGGCTGTTCGGTTGGTATCTATCACAATAATAATGAATACAAGGTTTTCGTTTGTACTCTGACTATTACTGTTTGTCTCGTTTTCTGGCGAACACTTACATCATAGATTTTAGGATTGGAACACTAAAAATTCCGTACATGTTTCAATTAATTTGTACTTGCGCCGTTGATTGACTATACTGGTGTTTGAAACGGTGAGTTGCTGTGTTTGACTCTTAGTGCTAATTCCATCCCCGACTGGGGATGCGAGTACACATCTAGCTGAGGATTCCATCTATAGTAGGGAATGTGCCTGCTGCTAGTCATCCTCAATCAAAGTGTCTCAAGCGCAAAAATATATTTCTAAACAACTCACTCAACAAAATTTCTCAATAGCCAATTATTGACATATTGTTGTTTTTGCGGTTTTTTGATTCCTAACTTGTTTGTATAACGTAGCATTAATTAGTGATCAGTTTTAGCCTGTAGTTGTAGATATTTTTAATGCAGATTAACTGTAACTTGGTGCATGGACTTAGTATGCACTTTAACATAGCTTTAAAGTAGAATTACACGCAAAGTTTGTTCCCCCATGAGCTTTTAGTTCACTGAATTTGTGGACATATTGCTCACTATCTTAAACATTCCACATAACGCCCATAGGCTTCGAGTTCGAGTCCCACTCGATCTGCTTTTGAACTGAACAACTTGGTAATATCATCAGTAAATACGACTCATAGTCTGGTACATAAAAAATGTATTCTCACTAATTGTGTTTAAACACACTGAATGAGACCCCCCATTACTCGTAATTTGTTACTTCGAACGCTACGTCATGGATTTTTTGTTACAAAGTATCGTGAAAATGACAGTGCGTAAGAATTACATTTATTGAAAAACTAACGGCAACTTCATGCGATGAGAAAATCAAAAGAAAGCCATTTAACTAAGTGAAAAGTCTCATAATTACATATGTATTTTCTCATTTCTTGACATTCCGAGTGGAACACAGGGCTTCAACTTTGTACTTTCAGTAGCAGTGGTGTTCCCTTTTATTGCGTGGAGTTGCTAGCCTCATATCCAAAATTCCCTGTTTACGTGGTGGGGCTTACTACCGGGTAGGCGAGTTCTAGGAGTTCGTGGTGGACGAAGATTCTACCCTGACTGATTCTACCACTGACTCATATGTACGATTGATTATTATTATTGTGTTTATCTTCATTTAGGTGGTGCTACACCTATACAACAACGCACAGATGGTGTTGGTGAAGTTTCATCCGCAGCTTTCGAATCACCTGCTAGTATTCATTTATCGACCTGGGGCGCTCAACCTAATGATCGGCCGAGTAAACCTATTGAAGGTTTGTTTATTTTCCACTGAGTTATTATTATTATTTCTGTTGTCATTCTCCTCCTATGATGGATTGATACTGAGTTGTGGGTTCGTCTAACTTCACTAGAATGCGCCTCCAAAGTTTGGCACTATAACCAACTGGTCACTTGAAATTATCTCCAACACTTAACAACATACAAAGTTGGACTGGGGGAAACGACGACCAGAACGACAATAACAACTTTTTTATGAGATAAAATACATGGTATACTGTATTTACAAACCCTTAGAAATTTATGCTATAAATAAACAAATCAACACTGTCCAATCAAGTTATCATGTCAATACATGCATAAATCACTACGTCTTGTCTAAAAAAGAAGCTTGTCTGTCCTAACACCTCCCTTTTAGTATTAATGCTCGATTGGAAGACCATTGGAAGATACCTTGTAGGTTTGTATACTCTCCGTCTATGATACTTTCATTCTACCTGTTGTCATATGCTTATAATCTAAGTTTGCTAGGTAAGATAACTAGGAAATGTTAGATATATTCAGTAACATTTATTTTGAAGAAGTTTATACTATAGAAAAAGCAGAAGAAGAAGAATAGCAAGGACATTCCCCCCTTAGTTATACTCAACAGTAAAAGGTTTCAAACACAAAATGTACTTGGAAGGCTACTAGAATTGATCGAACTTCAAGCTATGACAGCAATTATTCAATGGCTAATTAGAAATTTTGTATTAAAACGCAGTGTTATTTCCAGGGTCCAAGATTCAATACAGAGGTAGGCTTTACGAAATTTTCAAGAAAATTATATGCACAACCTTTTTGGGGAAGAAAAACTACTGCTACTTCACTGAATTATCAGAAGTTATTTACGAATTATTTCTACAGTGTGGCGGATAAATGAGTGATACCACTACATACATACAACTTACTATGCAAACCTGAAAGATTCCATTGTCTAATGAATAAAGTAAACGTAATCTAACGAAATTAACTGTAAATGATTATTCACAGGACTACACTGGCCAGTCACAGTAATCGCGTATGGCCGAAATAATCCGTGAACGCCAACTAGGCAACAGCTGTGAAGTGATGATTCTTTTTTCAAGTGTTTGTTTGCAGGGATTTCATTGATTGATGATGGTGATGATTTATGAATAGGTAAATTGTAACTAAGGCGGTGAAGATTAGTAAGTAATATGAAAAATATCCAGAGAAAATTGAATGTGACTAAAAAAGCACGGAGATAAGAATGAAGATAAATCATGTAGTAGGTGAAGAAAGTGAACAAAAGGCTAGTTAAGAAAATGATGTTGATAATCGGCATACGAAAAATACAAAAAATAGTAATAATATTAAAATATTGATAACAGCTGAGTTTGATATTGTACCCAAAGAAGGAGGAGGAGGTGGAGAAGATTCTTCTGTGTACATAAATCGGGGATTTCCATCCGAATCGCTAAGGCCTCAGTAATGAAAAGGATACGGAAGAATATTGTTTTTCGGGAGTCTTTTCGACTCTGTAGATAACTTTGAATGTATTCTTCTCACATATTGAGTGGCCAATGTTGAATATATGTTCAGTTACAACACTTCTTATTGATCGATTGTAACCTTTATGTAGCCAAGAGGAATAATGTTCCTCTACTCTTTTGGATAAAACACATATTGAATGACGTATATATACCACGATCCACAGGAACAAGTGAATTGACAAATACACACAGAAAGTGGTTAAATGCGATACTTTAGTATTCTAACCATTGAAGAATATTGGATAGAAAGAGAATACCAATCTTGATGTAGAGGGAAAACATGATCTTTACTTCAGGGCTTTTGAGAGTTGACGAGAATGAGCCTTTGAAATGAAATCTAAGCATATATAAAATGTTTTTTCCTATAGTTTGGTTTGTAAGGGTTAGTTTTGGTTTTACGAGTTAATCACGGGTTGATATCAGTTAGAGAACCATTGAAAATCAGGGAGTACTGAACAGCTATTTCATCCTAGTTTGGGAATCATCAGCAGTACGCAACCATTGGGGTTCGAACCCAGTACCTTCTGGTTACAAGGCAAGCTCGTATACCATTAAGCCACTGGGACCCGGTTCAATGGCTCATGAATTCTAACTTCTATCAATTCGTAATTTAGCGCGACCCCAACCATTGTCGTAGGTGGGACATCCATTCTCATACGTGACATCTGGATGGACCTCACTGGTCACGATATTTTGTGTACATTATCGAACCTTACATCTTAAATATAATAATATAACTAGTCACACAATGTAGGTAGTATGTTTTGGTGTGAATCTTTCAGTTGTTCATTGAATGCATGCAATGTTCCTCTTTTGAATGATAGGTGTGGAAAAATGAATTTCTTCTCTGTCTGAATTGCAACAAATGTATAACAAGTTTTGCTTCACCTTCTATTCTGGCATAAATCTTATGACCAGCTGTGTAGTCTAGCAAACTGCAAGCGACAGAGGCATTTTACACACTAAGAGTAAACTACTCTAATCGGCAATCACAACGTCTACTACAATAGCAATACCATGGGTAGGCGAAAGCAAGAATAGACGATGAACAAAGAGTCTTTACTTTCCCAAATTATTATTTAAAAAATAATTTGATTCTGAGTGTGTATGCATTCTTAATGACCACCTTAACCAGCACCAAAGCCACTAATAAGTTTTAAGTCGCCAAATGAATCAATGAAAGTGATATCTTCAGAGAGAATGGGAAACACTGAAAACTAGTATCCTCATCAAAATGACGGGTATATAACAATGAACTTTTCTCATGATTTTCTACTTTTAAAGAAAACAGAATTTTTTGGTTCTTTAGTTTCTCTGTGCAACCGATTTTTTGGTTTTGCTTCTCTGACACAAAGTCCTGAGCAATCCTCATTTGTAAGGTTGTTTAGATAAAGGAGGTGGCAAGAGCTTAGCTATTCCCCAGTGGATTTTAATTCTGTTGAGGACCTGTCTCAATATATTTATTCGGTGAAATTTTAAACGTGGAGTCAATGTACATACATAAATTATTTCTTTTGTTTCAGATATGACTAAACGTGAAACAGCTGAATATGTAAATCACTTACTGAAAACTCTGCAATGTAAGTTAATAATAATAATAGTGCCTTTGTTGTTCTCTCTTTCGTTTTTATGCCTTACTCTTTTGTAATCATAACACATAGCTGTCAGCTGCTTAACTGAGGGAGTGATCAGTGCTTCCCTTTAAATAACTGCGAAAATTCTTAGTAACCAATGAAATCAATAAAGTCTTTATAAAATCAATCAGTGTCCAAATGACTAACACCTTTTGCCAAAAAATAAAACATTTTAGTAGAAAATATTACTACCTTCCAATTTTCAAGAATTGGTTTTTAGGGATCCTATTTGTTTCAGGTTAGACCATGGATTGATATCAGTTAGTGAGAGGGAACCATTGAAAACCAGCACTGGAGTACTGGACAGCTGTTTCATCCTAGTTTGGGACTCATCCAATTATTACCCTTTTGCTGTTATATTAGCAACATTGCAACACAGTTCAGCTGTGAAGCATAAACGGTTGCAACCAACCAACATGTAAAGAGTTTTACCGCTCTCGGAGCTAACCAACGTGCCATGTAAGCAAGTCACAGTTTCCAACACTGTCAACAATATACTACAACCTTTTTCAAGCGTGATCATGGATTAATATCAGTTAATCTGTGATCACATTTGATACCAATGAAATCCTTAAAAGCTAGCTCTTAGAAATTACGCAATTTTATTGAAAGATTACATTTTACAGGCGAAATTTTGACCACAGTAAAAAAGTTCACTTTGTTTGCTACAATAAGCTGAAATGACACAACATACCGTCTACAAGCAATCATCAATTGTCTAACTGAAATTAGAACCCCAACCGCTTGGAAATAAGAATGATTGTTCATAAAAGTAAGAGACCCGAAATGTGTACAAAGCATATTTTAAACGTAGAAGTTTTGTAAAGAAAGAAGACGAAATAAATGAATGAAGACATGGGTTACGTAACATACTGTACAAATCGATAAAGACGTTTAAGGTCACAGTAGCAAAAGGTATTTTCTATACATAGTTCTAGGTTTTTCTTGCGTATAAGCATGAGCTCCCATCATAAATAAAAGAAGTAGCTGAAAATCTTTTTAACGACCTTGCGATACGTTATATATCACTTTGAAAGATTTCTATTATATTATTATATATTATTGTTCCCTTGGGTTCCTAGTGGAACATAGGGCTTCAACTGCACGCCTCCACTTGCTTCTATCTTGTGCTGTACTTTTCACTTGCATCCATGTTAATCCATAGTGTTTCAGTTCCTCATCACACGATCTCCTCCATGTCACCCTTGGACGTCCCACTCGCCGCTTCCCTTTCGGGTTCCACTCGAGGGCCTGACGTGCGATGTCACCCAGCGGCCTCCTCAGCGAGTGTCCAATCCATCTCCACTTCCTCCTGCATATTTGTTGGGCGATTGGTTCTTGTTTTGTTCGTTCCCATAGCTTTTTGTTGGTGATTCTTTCCGGCCATCTGATCTTCAGTATAGAGCGAAGACAGTTGTTGATAAAGGTCTGCAGCCTGTCGGAAATATTCTTGGTGACCCGCCACGTTTCTGATCCGTATAGAAGAACTGACTTGACGTTTGTATTGAAAATCCGAATTTTGTTGTTGATGCTGAGTGACGAAGATTTCCAGATTGGTTTCAGGCTGATGAATGTGTTTCTCGCCTTCCCGATTCTCGATTTGACATCCTCGTCCGTTCCTCCTGTAGTTGAGACAATGCTCCCTAGATAAGTGAATGAAGTAACCTGTTTCAAATCCCTCCCGTTGATGGTGATTGGCGCTGGATGTTGCTGTTGTTGTTGTCGGTTGGTCATTTTCATAACCTCCGTCTTGTCTATGTTCACCTGGAGTCCTGTCTTTGCTCCTTCTTCGACCAGTTTGTCATTTTCGCTTGTAAGTCTTCGATTTTGTGTGACATCAAACATAAATCATCCGCGAAATCCAGGTCTTCTAGATACTTCACGTCGGTCCAGGATATCCCTGCCTTCTCGTTTCCTACTGTCTGACGCATAATCCAGTCCATCACAATCAGGAATATCATTCGTGACAATAAGCACCCTTGTCTGACTCCTGTGTATACTCCAAACGCCTCGCTGAGTTTTCCGTTGTGGATCACTTGACACGTGCCGTTGTCGTACAGCTGTTGAATAAGGTTGATGAATATTTGGGGTACGCCGTAGTACTCTAGTAGTTTCCAAATTACTTCGCGGTCAACGCTGTCGAAGGCCTTCTCAAAGTCTATGAAGTTGAGGTAGAGATTTGATTGCCATCCCATGGTTTGTTCGATGATAATGCGTAGAGTTGCAATTTGGTCAGAACATGATTCGCCCTTCCTGAATCCAGCTTGTTCTGGTCGGAGTTCTGTATCCAGTGCGTCCTTTATTCTCTCCAGGATGATGCGACTCAGAATTTTACTTGGCGTCGACAGGAGCATGATTCCTCGCCAGTTCTTGCAGAGTCCTAGGTCGCCCTTCTTTGGTAGTTTCACGAGGTAACCTTTCCTCCAGTCAGTAGGCACCTTTCCCTCTTTCCAGATCTTTTGCAATAATGGAGTCATCATATCTGCTGTCGTCTGTGGGTCCGCTTTCAGTGCTTCCGGGGGAAAGATTTCTATAATGATGCAATAATGATATGAAAAAAACAAGCTGCTGAAGAATTGAGCTATTGGGTTAATTTAATTTCCCCTTTTGAGAATATCCTACTGGTATGACCTGTGTACTTAGTTGTACAGTAGCAAGAGAATTGCTGCATGTACACAAGAATGTTCCCAATAGTGAAATATTCAAAGTTACCAGATCGTGAATTATTCTTAGGTAATTGATGTGTTCGAATTATCTGAGTTGATGTTTCAAAAGACGATTACATTTATTGAAGTACGATCTTTATTTTTATGCAGTTGCACTCTTGCACCGTGCTTCAGAATGTGGCTAATTGCCTTAAGAGCTAACAGGGGTCACCTATTTCACCCTGGAAAAGAGGGTGGTATCATCATCCTTCACATGATAATTGTGACTCTTAGCCCCCGGTACATGAAACATTTGCCCCCTGTAATTGAATACAAACCAATTTTAGAGTCAGGTGAAATGTTATGGTTTGGTGGTGTGATACAGACAATGTATGCCAATGGAATATTGTTCTCACATATTCACACTGTTCAATTCTGCATTAGCAACCGAATACTATGTATATTTGAACATTCTATTTCATGTCGTTTGATGTAAAGCGAAATCATACGCTCAGTGATTGGTTAAAGAATATTAACTGTATATATATAAACAGCGGTTTGATCAGTGAAAAATATGCCTTGGCTTCCGTGTCTTGCCTTCTGTTGTTACAATGGTACTATCTATGTGTATATGTCAAAGAAAATGTCCCATATTTTTTGTCTCGTCATCGCTAACCTTTCGATGTGTGTTACAGAGAGATTAGTCATCAAATTATTTGATTTGCTTCGAATGTCTTTGAAGTCAGTGATAATGCAGTGATTAGAACTCAGATTGAAAGATCAAAGTGTAGCCGAATAAAAAGGGTCGGAAATTCAGTTAAATATGAAAGTCAAGTGAGATGTATGGGGAGGGGCCAGGGTGATCTCAGAAGACAAGGATTTACTAAGGAGAGAGAGTTACCAGAATAATTGAAGTCCTACGATGGATCCTTTTTGAACACGTAGATGGGGTTTCAGTCGTTTTAATGTGACATCCCTAACAGTGTGAAGAAGAGTTGGGCTGTTTTGTTTGTTAATTATTTTGAATACTCCCAGTGCCTCTACTCTGTATCTTGTCCTTCAGCTGATTAGGAATTGACGAGTTTAAACTTTTCGGTCCCTTTAATCGAAGATGGCTTGGTACACTCCCAAAAAATCTGACACAGACCTGTCTTAATGTAACCGCTCCCGGAGTTATATATGAATTAGTAGATACAGTTGGAGGCAACACATGGGGGGTGCTTGTCGAATTTTGTTTGGAAGGAGACTGGTTTCTCTGCCAGATACCTCCTGGTCAATACTGTACTTAAACATTTATTTATCATTCTTGACCTTTGAAGTCAAACTGAATGAAAATTGGTTTTTCGCTGACTGTAATTATATCTGAATTTTTACACTCCCTCTTGCCGTATTTATTTTTAACTTTTTTTCTTTTAGCTGCACGAACAGAGATTACTCGTCTACAAATGGAAAATGGTCGATTAACTAGTCATGCAAATGAAACTGAAACTGAATTGAATGATGTCCGTATGACTTTAGCAACATTACGTAATCGTTTGTTAGCAGATAATCTCACTGAGTATCTTGAATTACCAAGCGAGACCAATGGTTATAGGGGTGTGAATAACAACAAGAATGGTGGTTTTAATGGCATCGGTGGTGGTGGTTTTACAACTAATTTCTCAGGCTATGATAATTCGCAAATAGATAATACTCCTGAGCCTCAGTCATCATTTCTGTCGAAAATTTCTTCATTGGGTATTAATGCACGTAAAACAAGTTTTATTCCACCTTCGAGTAATCTACCAACAAATGGAAATGGTGCTAGTGCTGCTGGTGGTGGTGGTTGGTGGTAGAGATGAATGGGAAGGGGGTGAATGTGTAACAAACAAAGTGTAACTGAATAAAAAATTGTTGACCATAGTTGCCTGCTGCTTACCTGCAGCCTTTCATACACACACACACTCTCTCTGTCTGTCTGTCTCTATGCGACAAACAAACAAAGAACAACAGCTCAATAACATGAGTAAAATATGCATCATACGCTTTTCCTTCTTTATCTGCTTCTTGAGTTCTCCTCGTCGCCCGCCACCTGTGTTCTCCATTCTTTCATATCTTTCCGTATATTGTATGTTTGTTTCACTGATATCTGTGAATTTTATTGTGATGTACAAATGCGAATGCGAATAGACATCTAGACAGACAGACGAACAAACAAACCAACAAAATTATATAATCGGTAATGTCTTTCATTTAACACCTTTTTGTCAGTTTGTTTTCTTCTTCTCTTCACATTATTTTTGTTAACAATCATTGATTGGTTCCTATTGTGGATGATAAATAAGTTGTGACGCTGTTAGTTTTTTCTTTCTTATCTTCGCTACTAAATTTTTCTGATGCTCAATGCGTGTTCAATAGTTGTAACTGTCCAACCTTATTTTTATTTTTTGATATCATTCGATCAAGGAATATCACGGTATCAAATGTGCATTACTCACGCACTTACATATCTTAAGAAGGGAATACTTAATAATAATAATGATAGTGATTATAGCTTTATTTGCTTATGATATCCATTTTTTTATATACATATATACACCTTTTACAGTTTGGTTTATTTTTCACTCCAGAAAGAATATTCCGTTAATTAAAACAAAATTGTTTTTGTGTCTTTGTTATCTAAAAAATGAGTGAATGAATGAATAAATTCACCTGATCACATTCCAAAGATAATCAAGTCGAATCATATCAAATATATAATTCGTGTGAAGATGACAGATATCGGGTAGGTGGTGGTTGCAGCTCAAGCTTCAGATATGGAGGATAAACCTTATAGAATTCAATATAGCACCTTAGAACACGACACAAAATAACTTTATGCTCACCGAAAGACGAAACAGAAAATCAATACATGCGTATATATATATATATATATATATATATGCATATTCTTATTACGAAAGAAAATGTTGCTTCACTGACTAATTGTTGTCGTCAAATTTGTATGGTATAGTTGTTACCTTATTTATTAGTACTACTGCTAAGAAAGGTCTTTCATCCCATGCTCACCACAGCCTTATGATTGATGATGAATTACATTTTAGGGATTTCGTTTACTCAGCCCTTATATTCTGTTTTTTTTTAATTTTCACAATATGCTCTGGGTGACACTTATTTCCATCTATCTACTTCACTTATCATCTATATATATATATATATATATATATATCTGATTGTAAAGATGATCTATTTGAATTGATTGTTTCTCTATGTATGTATGCCTATCTCTCTCTCTCTCTCAATACATATCAACATTTTCGTTCTGTGATTATTATTATAATTATTTATTTTCATGTTTAATGTATTTTCGTGGCTCAATTCTTTCCTAACTTCTTGTATATTGCATAACACACTGATTTGATTTGGTGATTTTGTTTTCTATTGAAGAGATAAATAATATATATGCATCGTATAGAGAAAAAGTTTCTTCTATTTTGGTGCTCTCAGTCCTTGTTGTCTTTATTTGTGTGTATGAAACTAGGTGTTGTTTTTTTTTGAATTCCTAAGGATTTGATTCTTATATATATGTAACTCAGCCCACATGGTCCTCTCCCCTAGTAGTGATTGGTTTCGAGATGAATTCACTGAGATTATAAAAGTTGTGAATTCGAGATAGATTGTATCTACTACCACCAATCAAGTGGATGAATGATAACGTCGTAGTCCTGAATTCGATTTCTAATAGGGTGAAAATAAATCATAACAATCAACCAGGTCATATTAAATAAACAATCCGAAGAAAAAGACTTTAAAAACTATTGGATTTATTGATACATTGTACACTTTTAACCCCTAATCCTAAATCTAACTCAATCCCAGTATTAATCTAAGAGGATAATTAACCTACCTTAAACTTAGACGTTAAAAGTGTATAAAATCTGATTGGCAAAAAGCTTTTGATGCATGTATGACCAGTGACATGATTGTTTGCTCAAAAGTCGTTCGGTGGCTGCTACATAGTTTATTTTTACCCCTTAGTGGTGTGTTCTATGTTCTATTGAGACTTTTCATCGTTGGAGATTGTGAGTATGATTCAATCTTCTTTTAAATATGCGTATATGTATGTATTGCTTATCAGTGCGAAATGCGGAGTGTTTGTTTATACATATATCAACCCCCTCGATAGTACTGGAACTTTGATGATGATGCCTTGTTAATATTAACAGGATGCTACTCAGTAGGCGGTGGCAGAGATTTTCTTGACTAAACAGCGTATTGGATCACTCTACTTTGTTTGAAACAGTGCATTCTGGGTCCAAGTTCCAGTGAGGAAATACCACGACTCACTGGATATACAAATAAATCTACCTAATGAGTCTCCTATATAGATAGAAACTTACGTCCTGCATTCCATTGCTGGTCATTGCCAATCACTTTAAGTATTATAATCGTAGGTTACTTTCATTCTGTTTATAACTGATTAATGTGATCATCGATATACACGTAATCTTGAATAAAGAATGATCTCATTGTAACATGAAAAGTCTCAATATATTTGATACAGTCCAAAGCGATGGTGTTTCGTACATTTGTATCGATGAAGTAACTTCATTCATTCATCCTTTCCATTTTTGTAACACTTAGATCATACAGGTTTATTTGATTCCCCTTTTTTCATTCATTCTGATGTAATTCATTTATGCAAACAACACATTGAATGTGTGAACTTCTTTCTCTTGAAACTTAATCAACACATATATCATGATTTTAAATAATTTTCTGTTAGTTATTGTTTGATTATATTAAATCAGACCTTTGTAGATTATAGATTTTGTAAGGATTTGGATTGATTTCAGTGTTGGTTTCATCACGAACCAACATCAGTTAAAGATCATTCAAAACCTACAGAGAGCTCTGAGCAACTGTTTTGTCCAAGTTGGGGGAGTCTTCATCAGTTTGCAGTCACCCATCAAGGGTATTTTTATGCGAGATATTTGATGAGTCATTTCATTCCAACTTAATGGCTAGATATTAAGTCTGTCAGGCTTATAACCTCAAGGTCGTCGCCCTTGATTCAATCTCTAGGGCGGTCATGGATGCGCACCGTTGTAAAATCCCGAATTCGGATGGAATAGCCATCCATTAGCGCTCAGTTATGTAATGTTCCTCTAACTTGTTTTGGTTTGTAGTGAAATTTATTATTTCGTTTGTTTATTGATAGAAACATTATTTACTGTTTTCTTTATTGATCAGTAGGTGACACTTAAACAGACCGAAAACAATTAACGGTAGGGTTTTTTCCACTAGTCCTTGTGATAAAGCATCGGTCTACTAATTGGCTACCTTAAACCCTTCTGAAGTCTAGATTTCCCTTCTCCTTCTCTATTAAATTAACATCGGTTCACCGAATGCAATTCATGTCAGATTCACTCAAACTCGTGAATTCTACTGAATCATTCTTATGTGTGTATACCGTATACAGTATATTCGCCTTATAAGTGATCATATACGATTATCCTCTTACCTGACTTTGTGGAATCTGCTGGTCATGACATCTCACTAGAACTCCAGGTAACTCCAAAACTAAGACGGAACAGCTGTTCAGTACATCTTAGTTTTCCGGTGGTTCTCTAGCTGATGTCAACTTGTGATGGAACATGTGCCTAATCAAATCCCAGCAAAGCGAACATTCGGAAATATACTGCTTTTCTCAGTTTCTCATGTATGATTTTCTCAAGCTTACCATAGTGAAGTGACGATTCACTTTGGTAAACCCCTCATGTTGACTGATTTTTAGTTCCATCCAGTCCAGTTTTTATACAATTCAGTACGTTTTATTACATTTTGCCTTATTTTTATGTCGTGGTGGTGTTGTTGGGGTCACTGATTATGTGTCATACTTATTCATCTTGATATTTTTAATTTATTAGTCAAGCGATTTTGTTGTAGATGCTTATTTTTGTTTTTGAGGGGGTGACTGATATGTATTATTAATTGTTTTATGCACAATAATTAGTTGCTAAAGGTTAGTTGTTTGGTTAATTTTTTCAACTATAATATGAAGATTGTGTGTGAATTAGATAAAAACGAGTTTGCGAAAAGTTAATCACTCAGTGGTAACGTCTCGGACTTCATCTGTAGGTATCTTAGGTTTGCATCTCACGGGTGGGGATATGAGTTCTCTCAAGATTGCATCAGTGGCACAACGGTTAGGACACTCGCCATCCATGCACATGATCCGTGGTTCGATCCCATGCAGACGCACACCCGATATCAGTGGTCCGCCTGCGAAATTGGGCTACTAATATCACATGCTGAAAATTCCATACTTGTACCAAAAATACTGTGTGGAGTCAAACTATAATAAAAAAAAATACACCGTGATGACTGGTGAGTCCCAACAAGCACGAAACCAAGGTTTATGGCTTCTTGTCGATTGCCTCCAACAGTTAGAAATACACTTTATGCATATACTGTTTACTGGCTGAATTGTTTGTTTCCTACCAGCTGTTTGGTTTTCTTAGCTTCGTTTTTCATGTCTAGATATTAATGTGTGTAATAAGTTAAACCGTTAGTGATTTCTAAACTCATCTTCCAGATGTGTTTCCATGGTAACTTCAGCACATAGTGAGTAAGTAAGAAAATTGTAGGCAATTTTTAAGGAACTTGTTAAAAAAGAAGACTAGATATGTTGTCGGTAGAAAAATTCATCTAGTGCTCACAAGCGACTGACTACAGGAATAAGTTGTCTGAAGTTCTAGTGGGAAGTTTTGATCAGTGGGTTCCACCAAATTATGTGTGAGAACAAACACTCGCCAATGACACTGGCTGGTGTTTGCGCTATATATCGTGAGTTGGAATTCATGGTCCGGTCATTGGATTCGATTCCAGTGGCCGAATAGTCAACTAGCTGCTCGCTTTGTAACCTGGAGGCTCTACGTTCGATCCCTGGTTGGTGGGATAATAGGTACGTAGTGCTGAAAAGTCCCAAACACTATTACTAAACAGCTATCCAATACTTCCTGGTTTCTAGTAGTTTTCTAAATGATGTCAGTTCGTGATTGATCTTGTAATCAGTCAAATCCGTGCAAACCAACACTTAAAAGTAAAAATAATACTTCAGCTGGGAATCGAATCCTATCTACTTGCATGACTGATGAAAATCCTACCAGTCAGCCACCGAATTTTGTTGTTGTTTTCATTCTAAACAAGATTTCTTCAGGATATCCTAGGATAGTATGTCTACATGGTCATAGCAGT